GTAATTCGTAGTACTAAATGGATTTTTGATTATTGATAGATGAAAGAAGTATTGTTTTCTAAAGGTATCAAGTAACTTCATATTCGATATTAGAATTTGGATTTATTGTTGAAGTTTCATTGAAGTAACTGAATGAGTGTTGTGAATTTGTGATGTTTTGGTATTATTTCTAAAATTCATAATTTTCAAATTGTATTAATTGGTGAATTTCTATTTATTATTTTCAAAGAAAATAATTTACAATTGTTTTTCGATTGAATTATAATTGTGTCACTTCCTTTTTTAAGGTTGTTGGTCATCTTAAGTCACGTCCAAGGCAGGGTATCATACATTTCTTACAGAATCCTCAAATACATTGTAAATTCTGTACATTCAAAAATACTTCATTGTATAATTAACGCATCTAATTGGTCGAGAATATCTAACGTCATTGTCCTCACAACCGATTGCTTTAGTAAGGTCGCCGCCCGTTCGATGGCAGCACTGAAGCATGGCTAACGCTAGTCACGCGTATTAACACGTAGTTAACACGGCTCTGACGCTAGTCACCAAGGCCGGTTCACTCAATGTTAAAAGGTGGGGACCAAAATTGTTTCCTCAGTCACTTGCCTGATGCAGATAGCGCTGCTGTTGCGTTTTCGCGCGCATTTTCAAAGTATAGTACGAAAGTGCAGGTTGTGGTGTGTGTAGGGAATATCCATGAGTATTATCTGCTTTTCTTATGATTTACTACAAAGAAATAATTGTATTATTTGCAGAAGATGGATATATGTTGCGTATGAGAGAGCTCAACCTCTTGGAGGATGCCCCTTCACAAGCTCCCCAAAAATCAAGGGATGCGTGAAAGATGGTTGAGAAACACATATCGCGAACATTTAATTGGTAAATTATGTATGAAATATAATAAAAGTTAATAAAATTATTCAAATCTGCACACTTTGATTCGATTGGTGAGACAATCTCTCTTCTACAGAAGAGATATTTTCTGTAGTAAAAAATTTACAATCTCCCCAATAAACGGGGATTATTAAATAATTTTTTGGTTACATATAACATTTTTTAATCAATATTTCACACGAATACATAGATGAAAACCGGAAAACCTGGTATAAATGTTTCTTTATTTCGTAAATTCATATATGTAATAGGAAACAAAAATGAAAAATTGGTCTTGTTCAATTATTGGTGTCAATTTGTGTTTAAATTAAAATCTTCACTTATCTTAGATCCTGTCCTTAGAACACCATCATTTTGGATTTTTTCATGACTTGTATCCACAGAGAAACCACGAAAATAAAACAAAGAATTGAGTAGACTAGAAAATTCTGTATTAAGAGACAAGGAAGATTCCATGATGCAAAATAACTCAGTAACACAATAACTCAGTGTAGTAACTGCAAGATAAACACTTCTGGAGAGCTTTGGAGAAAAATGTCATTCATGTAACGTGTAACTGATGATACTGATAGTTGAATAATAATTTTGTGATTAGATTGAAGAACCCCTTATGTACTTTGGGTAAGGCTAAAAAACTATTTTAAAGTATGTCGTTTTGAAATTTAAATCAGGTTAACTTGATTTAGATAATATTTTTAAATATTGTATTACATGTTTTTACCTAAAATCAAAATTGTTAAGTGATTTATTTATCCTTAATTACTTTAAAAGCATAAAAAAGTTTGACATGAATTATCATTTGTCATTACAATATTGTTGGTTTTAGTTGTTTTTTTTTTCAAATAGATACTATACATTTGAGGAGTCTGGTGCAATACTACCCTACTCCCAAAATCTTTAAATTTAAGTACTTGTAGTTTCATTCTCTTAACACACTTCTCATGCATTCACATTATTGAATAAGCTTCTAGTACCACCTATTAGCATGAAAAAAAAAAACGTTTTCTGTAATTCTGCCTGAATCAAAAAACCTCTTACTGTTGAAAACAACTTGATTCATAAAAAAAAGTGAAACAATGTTAGACAGTTTTTGAGATATTAAATTATATTTAATAGTTGTCCTGTTCCTTCCCTCTTAAATGGTATTTTATTAATATACACAAGGAAAAAGGCTAATATTAAAAGTAGTAAGATTAACAACCATTTTTATTAGTTTTAACATAAATTTATTTCTTTAAGCGAGTATCAATAAAATTCCATTTTTATTACTAATCTATAAGATGTACCTTAAGTGGCATTAGCAAACATTTTGCTCCAAATCTAGAATTACGAATATGGTTCAAGCTTTAAATGTGTTTTTATTGAAACTAGCTCAGTGTGTGTGTATTGTTCCTAAATTAATTTTTATTTGCAGACAATAAAATGTTGGATAAAATCTGTATCTTCTAAGCCCATTAGTAAATAACTTCTACAAATTGTTTGTTGTTCATTTCATAAGCATGTTCATTTTAATGTATATTACATTGAATTTCCCAAAATTGTTCAATTATCTGAAAAATTTTATAAAACATTCTTTATATAAACAGTGTAATTGATTTAAGAGTTTATCTGCATAACTTCTTTTTTAAAATATTTGGAATTCAAATATTTTCACACATTACAAATAATATTAACTTAAATCATTGATTTCTTAAAAATTATTTAATTCACACCAGCTTTAATTTTTGGTGAAATTTTTTTTCACAAAAATATAATTGTAATTTTGATTCTATATAAATCATTGGTTCAGTGACTATTTTGTCCAAGTCTTTGAATACCAAGGAAAATGAAACAAATATATAAATTACACTAGTTTTGTGTTGGGTAAGTCAATTCGACTTGTGGTTACTAATAACATACCAGTAAATAGGTTTAGTGTTCCAGGATTAAAGAAGGAATTTGCTGCTTTTACACAAAGAAACAAAAAAATCTCATGAAATGAAAATTTGTGGAAGGTATAACACTTTCAATTTGGCTTGATGTTGCCCCAAATATTTAGGCAAACTTCTTTTGGGTTGGGTATATTCTTAATAATAATACAAGATTTTTCATTTTCTAAAGCTATCTTGTTGGTTTACTGCACACCACTATATTTCTACCAAGTTTATGCTTGTCTCATTAAAATCTATAAATAGGCAGAAGAATTGAATTGTTTCAGATGACTTAATTTGACAGAATATGTAGTAAAATTGGATTAGATTTTTACTGTAACTATCAATAATATTACAGAATTTATTGTTCATAAGATTTATATGCCAATTCAAATTTGGCTATATTTAATTAAAAATCTAAAACATTAATCTTTTGTAGCACTGAAGTATGTGACATATCCAAAAAAGTATTTGCCTACTTTGGACAGTGACCTTTGAATTTTAAAAATAAACTAGATATTCAGAGTATAATATTTCTTACACAGTTCTTTTATTACACTTTCCAAAACAATGTTTTTAATTGTTTACAAATCAAAATTGATTTGATTATTTATTAATAAATTTGCAGTGCTTATTAGGCAAGGTTTTCTAAAAAAGGCTGTAGTTATTTGATACATGTTGCTGAAATATATTTGTCTATAATATCATCGAGACTAGCAGCACTTTCAGCTTCAAGGGAAAAAAAGATTGCACTGGCACACTTTGTAATAAGATTTTCTTGGAATGTTCTTTGAGAAGACAAGAGGGCTGGGTTAGTAGGCAAAACTGTTGATATAATTCCATCTTGTAATGTTGGTGAAGTCAAATTCCTTTATACCTTGCCAGTTATCTCCTCAAAACATATTGCATCTAATACCATCTCCAGAGTGGAAACGTAATTCGTACACCTAAGCAAATTAATTTAGTTACATATCATACACTAATGAGAGTACCTATTCTAGAAGGGCAAACAATAATGGATTATGCATATTTGAAAAAGACATTTTAAGTACCTTTGCATTGCAAACAATGAATATATTGATATACAATGGATATATTATAAAACTTATCCAATACCATACGAAATGATCAGTTAGAAATAATATAATTACAATACGTTTAAACAAATAGAACAGAATAAACGACACATGTACTTAGGTTAAGTTATACTACAAGGATTTAAGAATTTATAAGACCATTTCACACGGTGTAAATGCTCACAAACGAAATAATCGATTACAATTATGCAACAAGTTTCCAAAATTAATTATAAATACCTCCACTGCTCGTAGGTGAAAATCCTAGCAATGTATATGTCTACCACCAGTCTTCTTGATATCATCTTCCAAAATACCGTAAACTAAGTTTTTAACACCGCAAATAAATTTCGCGACACAATTCACTCTACTTAAAAGACATGACATTCTACATACTAACAAAATGCTGATAAATTTGGATAAAAAGAGCATGTGAACAGCACGCAGGCTGTACGTAACGAAAAAACAAACACTGCTTACATTGCCAGCTTTTTGAATTGCAGGACAGCACAAGTAGTTCGGCTCACTACTTGCCTGCGGTAGATGATGCAGAAACCATTTCCCTGTTTTGACCTCCAAGTTTCACACCCTAGGAGAAGATAGATAGTGCCGAACTGGGGCTGAACCTGAGTATTCTCTGCCGCTACATTTTCAAGTTGTTTTATTTGTTATACTTAATATTTTTCAAGTATAAATATTGTCTTTGTTACACACTTTCATCCATTATCAGCTGATAACTCACGATTTAAAATCTCTTCTGAACTATGTTTTTGCTCAGCTTGTAAATCTTTAATCTTTCCCTGTAAATCCTGCAAGTGTTTTAACTGCTCCAAAACTCAGCTGAATATACATGGGTCAATGTTTGATTAAAATTGCCCATAGCATTGCCATATTCAGCTTGTCATTAGTATAATTTCACTTTGATGGCACAGTGTTATTCCTCGAGGCATCGCAATTCCTGAACTTAGAGAAGTGGCGGTTTTCAACCCTAATTAAACAACACAGTGTTTAGTTTGGGGTTCATTTGGAAGGGCAACTGGTGCGTCAGGTATGAAAGCTCAGTCGAGTCGAAGTCATGCTATTTTTACAATAACTATTCAGCAAGTCTAATGAAAGTATGACTTCAAAATTCCATTTGGTGGATTTAGCCGGCACAGAGACCCCCACCCCGCCCAAAATAGCGACTGGAGAAAGATTTAAAGAACGAGTAAACATCAATAAAGGCCTTCTTGCATCAGTAAATGTTATCTCAGCTTTAGGAGATGAATCCCAGAAAGGATACATTTCATATAGGGACAGCAGATTGAGAAGATTTGCCAACAAGGAACATTCATTAACTAGAATGATTACATGTGTCAGCCCAGCATATTACAATTTAGAAGAAACACTAAGCACCTTGCGGTATGCTGTTAGAGCAAGAAGAATTAGAAATAAACCTGTTAATTATGACCCTAAAGCTGCACTTTTTGCCAAGTTGAAACATGATCAGAAAGCTCAATTTTTACTCATGAATTTGGATAGAAACTTGCAATGTCCAGAAAAACACAAAGCGACCTGAAGAAAATACCAAACTTGCTGACAAGAACATGAAATGAACAGAGGCTCTTCATAATGCCTTTGCAGAAAATACAAATTTGGTTGAGCGAGCTCTTCTTGCAGAAGTTGCTCGTTACACATCTCGACTATCTTCTCTAATATCCACCGTGGATTTTGATTAAACTGAGCTTGAACAACTGTTGATATAGTTCCATAAAACTCGCAGAAATTTTAAAATGTCGATCATTCATTTCTACATTTTTAAATATGTCATCGACACCTGCATCATTACCATCACTATATGACGTGCCCATCGAAATGGTTTTCCCTGATCCTGTATGTCCATACGCCAAAACTGTCGCATTATGTCATTTAAACGCATGTTGAACCAAGTCTTTTATAGCAACATCATAAAAATACTCGTGAACTTCGGGGTTGAATATGTAGTTAAACGTGAAACTTTTGCCTGTGCCCTCCACAAAAACTTGAGTTTCGTTAGGGCCACATTCAAGGCACACTGACAATTTTTAACTTCAGGATACACTAATGATCGTATTCGCAACGCAACTTGCACCGAAAAGGAACCAGTCATAACAAACACTAATTTATCTTATACAAACACATTACAAGTTCGTAGCAATCACAAGTACGCACAGGT